GGGTATAAACTGATATATTCAACCGTGAAGTAAAATTGGGTATAAACTTGAATGATCATCAATTAAGTTGCACAAAAGTGGTGGACATTGTGTGCCTTCTATAGAGCCTAGAGAGTACTTATTACCTTATTCATAATGATTCTATTTCCATCAAAAATTATATCTAAAATAGAAAATAATTTCAATATTTGATAAATTGTAACCTTTTGACCAATCTCAATAATTAAGCAAATAAGTGCGACGTCATGTGGGACAATTTCTTACAAACTCGACTTGAATTGTTATTCACAAATATCAGATTCTTCAATGAATATTTTTTATTTTCTTTTCACTCAAGATTCTTCGTAAGAGCTTGATTATTCATTTAGCATGCGGTTGACCCAATTATTCGAAGAAAATAAAATTTCCAACAAAAATGAGTTCCCAAATGAATAAAATAAATTCAGGTGACAGAGTAATAATGACGTCATTGACATCCAAACATACTTGTTCAAAAGATCGTTTCGATCTTCTATTTATTATAATGTGAGGGGAAAAAATTGCATTGAAATAGTGATAATACCTGACTGTGATGTGGGCCAATGGAAAGAGCAGAAGTGGCATTTGCCGGAAACATGAAAGATTACTTGTTAGACTATTTAAACGATCTGTACTCTGACATTTAACTTTTAGTTCAAATTCACCGTTTCGAAAGTATTTAGATTTTTTATGATACTTTATTATTGAGTGACAATATGTGCACGCATCAAACATTTAAAGCATACAGAAACTTGTAAACATGCAGCAGTAGATTATAGACCACTACAATAAATTATTCTATGACCAAAAAAGCCCACAAAGTACTGCTGCTTCTTGGATTGCTTCCCAGCCTGTTCTTAAAATTTCTATCCACCATACCCAACAAGCAACAGGTATATTCATCTTTCTCTTTTTTGATTCATATGTGTATTTGTGTATCTGTATATGCAGATTTAATTATTTGCATCAATTATGTTACTTTTAGCTTTGAACAGATAGATTCCTAAATTTGCATTTCTTGGTTTTCCTGTTGACTTAGATTTGGGGAAAGATTCTCGTATTGAATTAGATTGTGTATCTTGATGGGATTATTGATTATTTACATGAAAAGTTAAAGGGGATTCTTGAATTCTTGTTTGCTTAAATGGTATTGGGAAAGCTAGTGCAGTTTTTGTTTGTTATATAATTGGATCCTAGGCGTTTAAGATTATGAAGTCAATTCAGGACAAGTTGTAATAACATTTGGCTTCCTGTATATGTTATTTTCTGTCGGATAAAATTCTGTAATTGGCAGGATTTAAAACGGTGAATTTACAATCTTTAAACATTTGCTTCCCACGAGAAAATTTGAGCTGGAGTAACTGAAGAAAATCAATTACAGGTTTTCATTTTTTTTTTTTTGGGAAAAATTTCTTCTTCCCTGCATTGAAGAAAGCATTGCCTCTTCTATGGGTAGTTGTAATTCTAATTTTTTATGGGGTGGCAGGGTTGGGGATTATAATATGTAAATCTCATACAATCTTTTAATACGGTCTATGCAGAAATATTTTGTGATTGAAGTAAACGTACTTTAGATAATGGGTAACAGTGAATCGTCATCCGATGATGCTTACGACAATTTTCCTTATCGGCCCGCTTCTTATGAAGGATATTCAGTAAACACTGGGTATCGACATCAATCTCCAGAACATGAAAGCAGTTCATCAAGCACTAGTAATCAAGATCATCCTCCATCATATGGTTCAAAAAATACTGACCATAGGAAGAAGCAACGTTCATCCTACATAGCTGATAACTTCAGCTCTTTGGAAGAGGTAGGCTATAACTTTATTAATGAGATCTCCACCCGTTTAGGGACTATGAGCATGTTTATCTAATGATAAAAAGTTAGCTTATAAGTATATTAGTACGTTTTAGAATCAATAAATTTTTTATTGATGAAAGTTGAAAATCCGTATGTTATTTATTTTAACACTAAGGTAAGAGTTACTTTTAAAAAAAAAAAAAAAGTAATTTTTTTTACTCAAAAGTAAAAGAGGCAAATTAACCGTACATACCTATATATTAAAGGACACAAAGTCAAAATGAAGTATAATGTCTTACAATTTTGTTGCCAATTTCATCTCATCGTCAAACAAATATCAGAATAAATGGCTCATATTTACCGATTACATCTTCATCTTCTAATTCCTTAGCTTGTATGAGCTTCACATCTAAAGTTCCAAATGCTAAAGTTCCTCAAGGCTTTAGTTCTAGGTGCCTGTAACAAGAAAAATATACCAATACTTTTGATTAGAGACACATTCTATAGATACATCCTCGTGTTTCCAACATGTTTATGGAACTATTTTATTGACAAGCACGAAAATTTCTGTTAACACTTTTCAGTCAAAATGGCTAAATTT